CAGACGTCGGGCTGAGTCGGGCATGTCCTTCGACAGCAGGGCATTTTTCAAGTAGTCCAGCAATAGTTTGGGACCGAGTTTTTGAGCATTATATGTATATATATACATATATATATATATCTGTATGTATGTATGTATGTGTATATATATGTATATATTAATATATCGCTCAAAATCCGCCAGTAAGAGGGCACGCCCGACTTCGACGTCGGGTGCCCTGTGATTTTCCAGCGCGTGTTCCGCGGAAGTCCCGGACTTTTCGTGGGGCCTCCACGACGGGGGTCAATGCAAACGGGAGCTAGTAGAGCGCCGGATCTTGCAGGATCCTGCAAACCCAGGGACGCAGTGACCCGGACTAGCGTGCAGGATCGTGCGGAATTTTGCAGGATGTTGCAGAAACCTGAGTAACCCAGGTGTGTGTGTAGACCCTGGTCAGTAGATCCCCGACAAAAAGGGGGATGACTGTGACGTGGTGGATCTCATGGCCGGCGCCATAGATTCTCCCTAGATTTCATGGCCCCCTCTTCTTCCTTCAATGCGTCCCCTGGTCCCCCCTCGTCCGCGCACATGCCTCGGGCCATGGTTTGCGACCTCCCCTCTCGGACGTCACGACTGACCTTGAAGCTTGAAGCTTTCAACCGCTGCGACGATGGAGGGGGGCACCCTAGCGCCATGCATACTCGGCTTAAACGTTTTGCAGCAGTTGCAAGGGTGGAGGGCGGCTGGTTTTCAAAATGCGGCTCTCGCTTGGGACCTCCTGAATTTGACGATGAGAACATAGGTAACAACTGCACTGATTGAGGGTGGTTCCTTTTTAAATGGGGCTCTCGCTTGAATATTCCCCGAATTTAGCAACCAAGAGTGCAAGCCCGTACGAGAGCTACACAACTGGGAGCGGCGGCTCCTTTCCAAAACGGGGCTCCTTTCCTTCGAGCTTACTAGACGCTAGAAGGATGCAAGGCAGTTCCTTTTCAACACGGGGCTTTCGATTGAATGGCAGGTCCATGAGGTGGCTCTTGTGGCGAAGAAGGATGCAATGTTTGGGCTGAAGAGGAGGGGAGTTGGGACTTGAGGGCGTATTGCAGCGTCGTTGATGCATGCTTGGTTTACTTTTGTCCTCATCCCCTTTGCCAGGCGCCGTGTGACTCCCTGAGTTCTGCATGACGATGAGAGGGTCAGCTCACTTGGGCTGTGGCGCACAGGATGTTCCAGGTTCCAGGATGCCCCCCCACCCCTCACCTGTCCCCCCCTTCCCCTCCCTCTCCTTCGCCTCCCTTCCTCCTTCCTTTCTCCCTCCCTTCTCCCTCCTCTCCCTCCCTCCTTCCCCCTCCGCCTCCCCCTTCCCCCTCCCTCTTCCTCCTCGGTTTCGGCTTCGGTTTCTCGTCCGTGGCGCCCGCGCGTGCGCCCTCGCCGGGAGACCAGGCAAGAGGGCCGCGCCTGGCAACGGGGTGCAGGCTGGAGTCTTGCGCCCAGGCGCTCAGCGCCGCCCAGCGCAGCGTCCTGGAGGCAATCCATGGGCAAAAGTGGCTTGGTGGGCTGATGGCGGCGATTGGTCGACACCAGGTGGTCACCCAGAGACGCTCGCCCACGTTGGTTGGGTCCAGCTTCCAGCTCTGTACCCCGGAGGCCCAGCCACCAAGCCAAGCCCCGAGCTCGTGCCCGAGCTCGTCCTCGAGCTCGTCCCCGAGCTCGTCCCGGGGCTGGCCTCCGAGCTCGTCCTCCAGCTCGGTGTCGAGCGCGTCCCGGAGCTCCTCCCCGAGCTCGTCCCCGTCCTCGAGCTCGTCCTCGAGCTTGTCCTCGAGGTCGTCCCCGAGCTCGTCCTCGATTGTGGGCCCTATGCTAGACGACGCGCGCGAGTGGAGCAGGCAACGCAGGTACGCCGAGGCGACCACGGAGTTGGCGGAGCACGGCACGGAGGCGGCAGCGTGGCACTTGTTATCCACGGCGTGGGCCTTATTCGCCGCGCAGGCTGCGGAGCGAACCGTTCACATTTCTGCTTCTGAAATTCGTCGATCATCGTATGCTCAGGGTTTCCGTCCGCGATGGGTATCGTACGTCTACGAGGGTAAATATCCCAAAGGGGTGCAGGATGTCGCAGACGGACGGATATTATACAAGGACTAGTTGATGGGAGTCGCCAGCCTTTCATCTAATGGGGTTGAAGGAGCTTTGAGCAAGCTTGAAACGATTTTCATGGCTTCGTGGCGACTGCATATGCAGGGCAAGGCGTAAGCTCAAGGCTGCATGCGGTCGTGGGACAATATCGGCGTGTGGTACTGCTGGCAAGTACGACGGCTGAGGACATATAGCATATACTCGGGGATTCGGTGGATGATATCTGAGTGGCGAGACAGGCAGCATATCGAGACAGTGCTCAACGATTAAATAGGTGGTGCGATTTTGCAAGCGAGAACGGTGGCGGACGGCTTCATATAATTACGGTACATCGGGACTTCCAGTGGTCGATGGCAGTCGTGAGCAGTTTCCATCACCCTTCATCGCATAGTGGAACATGCTGAAGATGCTCACGAGGTGCTGTGGAAGTCCTGCCTCGGTGGCGCCATCTGCGTGAGTTCCATATAGGCGAGCACTACCTCGTGTTAGTGCGCAGGACATAAGATCGGCCTCTGCGATACTCTCAACGCGGACAGCCAGCAGCTTCGACGGCATTCACCCCGCCCACTACCAGTACCCTTCTGATAAAGGGCCTGCTGTATTTGGCTGTTTATAGAGGCGGATGAACAAGGTCGGTGGTTCTGCTGCCAAGGCAGCTCACGTGTGTAGTCATGCCAGTCTTACCGAAGGCGATGGGCGGTCACAGGCTCATAGTATTGCTTTCGTCATGCTTCTGTGTGTGGCGCAGGGCCTGTCGTGGGCACTATCAATGCATTGCAAGGGAGGGTGACGCGGAATTGCTGATGTGCGAGCGCGGGTCGGTCAGCAATCTATAGCGCCTGGAATTTGTTGGCTCGAGCTGAAGCATGCGCCGGCCAGTGCAAGCGCGCGACCGCGCCCGTCGCAGACTACAGCAAGTATTGCGAAACCTTCCTTTTGGAGCAAGCGAGGGGCGCGCCTTGCAGGCTGGGAGCTGCTGCGGGACGCGCCAAGTTCGTTCGTCTGGGGCCGATGGCGGGGCCCTCGCGTCATTCGAGCTCGGTCTCGTCGCGGATCGAGGCCCCGGCGCGTTGAGTGCGGATTGCCAGCTGGTGACGTTTACGCGGGCAGTGTCGTCGAGGCGCGCGTTGTGGCGGGGTGCGCCCTGGTCATCGCCGTGCGCCGGTATGTAGTTGATTCGCCGTGCGCCGACGACGCCGGCATTTCAGTCGAAGGGTTTTCCACGGAGGAGCTCTTCAACTTGGTAGTGCGCGCTGGGCGCGGCTTTGAGGGGGTGGCGGCCAAGCTTGGGGCGAGCGTCAGAGACGAGCTCGCCATCGCCAGCAGCTCGGACCGCGTCGGCCAGCTGATTGCGACGCAGCTGAAGGTGCTGCCTGACGCCGCTAATCATGCTGCGTGCTTTCCGGGGACAGACTTCGCGGCCGGGCGAAGACGGGCGGTGCCGGGGGCTCGGGCGAAGACCGAGGCGCGGGCAAAGCGGTGCCAGGACGTGCTGGGGAAACTCGACAGGCTTCGGAAGGCGACCCCGACGAAGGCCAGTGAACGCATTGCGCGCGTCCACGTGGCGGGGGTTCAGCCGGCGCTCGCGTTCGGCGTGGGATGAGCGGCGTGGGCGACGCTGTGATGTGCCAGCGCCAGGAGAAGCCCTGTCCTGGGGGTATCTCGGCGTGGGCGCTCGCCCCCGCGCCGCAATGCTGCCGGGCGCGTTGGATCGTGACGCGCTCGCGCCCGGGCCGCGACGGTCGGCGCGCGCGAGTTCCAGGCCTCGTGGCAGCAGGCGGCGGGTGCGCCGGGAGTTGTGGAGACGCGTGGGCCATGCGAGGGGTCCTCTTTGTAGGGCGGCGGCGCTCAGTGTGCAACGTGTGGGCTGGCAGGTGATCTCTGGCGCGCCATGGCGGCGCCGCAGAGGTGGCCTGGCGTGCGTCGCGCAGATGGTGCTGCTCATTCTGGATACCCTCGCCTAAGGCCTATCTCGACCGCGTGAGTTGCGAGTGCCTTTTGGTTTCCGGCGACCCGCCGTCGGACCAGCAAGCGGGAACTCTGCAATGCATGGGGCATGCGATGCGATGCGCGCGCGATGGGGCACGGTCGCGAATGCGAGTCATGGCAAGAGGCTACGTCGCGGACGGCAAATGCAAAGGTGAACAGAAGGAGTGCAGGTTGGCAGGTTGCATGGGCCCTGAAGCCGCGGCATCACGCCATGAGTCTGCAGTGGGCGAGGCAGTTCTCAAAGCAGTGCGCGAGGCAGGCGGCGACGAACTCGCGCTCCGAGGCGGCTTCGCGTTTAGGGGCGAGGATATCCCAGAGATGGACCTCGGGCTCCAGGCGCGCGTCGTGGACAGCGGCGGTGGGGGTGCATCTGGGGGCGCTCGGCAGATAGCGCAGTCGGTGGTTGCCAGAGGAGATGAAATGACTGAATGTGAGATGGGCGGGTCCTGTTCCAAACCTACCCCCCTGGAGCTGCAGGGGGCCGGATGGGCAACTGCACTTCTGGATCCTGAAGGCAATGCGCCGCTGAGGGTGATGTGCGCTCCAGTCCCTGCAAGTCTGCCTCGGGCGTCGGCAGTGGCGGGGTGCCTGGCATTTTTTTCCTCCCGGGGCAGGTCGCGGAAAGGGCATCAGTGCTGCGCGCCGGTTTCGAGGGCGCCATCGATGCTTTTACCGAGTCGATGGAGCAGCGAGTCCAGGCCAGCCAGTGGCATGGTGGAGTCTGTGCACTCGCCCAAGGTATGCCTGGTTTTGCGCGATTGGTGGCTGTCGAGCATGTTAAGTCGCGCAGATCTGGCGAGGAGTACGCTGGCCTGGGCGCCAACGTCGAGGCTGACCACTTCGCGGGTATGAGCGCCCGAAGGCGCGACGAGGTGCATGTTGATCTCCAGAAGCGCATGAATGAGATGGCTCAAAACTGCAGTGGTTTAGCAAAGCTACTCGCGTGCGCGTTGCCACTCGTTGCTCAGTGAGAGCAGCCGTGGCAGGGGGGCGCAGCGGGCTGCAAGTTGGCCAAGAGCATCCGAGTCGACAGTTGGCGCGGCTGGCATGGCGCAGAGCTCGGGCTTCAGTGTTGCAAATGTCCGCGATTGTGCCAGCCTGAAAACGACAGCGTCAGTGGTTGCAGTGGTGCGCCAGGGCTCCTAGGTGAGTATCTCGCCTACGCGATGGGCCACAAGTTAGTGGTGGTCAACCAGGAGCGCGACCTGGGCGATATGACGTGCAAGGCTGCAGTATTCGTGTGTGCAGGGTGTGGTGCGCGGTCCTGGCGGCCTGGCAAGTTCAAGTTGCGCGAGCAGTGTGCTTGGCCGTCGAGCACGGGGCGCGAAGCATTCGTGAATCCGCGCAAAGGCATTCGCATTGAGCCGCATAAGAGGCTCGCCTAGCACATCGGCGCCAGCCTTCCAGTTCATCAGCCTCTGCATGTGGCTGCAGTGCCTGATCGAGTATTGGCGGCGGTTGCGCGACCTGTGCGTGATGGTTCATGCGTTTCAAGAGGAGACAGACAACGCTGAGTGGCGCGGTCCGCGCAGAGGGGGGCAAGGTGACGCAAGAGGCTGACGACAATCAAGCGCCATGTTCGGCAACTGAGGAATCTTTGATGCTGTTCCGAGGAGGGGGGGCGTCGGCCAGACTTGTCTTCAAAGTCGGCGGGCTGCTGGAACCCAGCGAGGTGGGGCTGCGCCCCCCGCCGGGCGAGAGGTTGGGCCCGGGGGGGCGGCGAGCGGGGCCCCTGCCAGGCGCGGGGGTAGGCGTGGGGTGACGGAAGGAAGCCGCGCGAGAGGATGAATTGCAGGAGGGGGCGTGGCTGTCCCCATCGGCATTGCGGAGGCTCCAGACAGGCGCAGAGTTCATTGGCGTCGCGGAAGGCGGTGAAGGGGGGTCCGGCGAGGTGGTTCACGGGGGCCCAGGTGCCAGCGGCAGCTTCGCATGGCGTGGGGTGGTTGGTTCGCCCGGCCGAGGGGGTCGCTGGAACCGCGAACGCAGCGAGAGGTGCGGTCTGGGGGCCTCGCCGATGCATGAAGATAGTTGGCGCGATGGGCGGTGCAGCATGCCTGGCCAGGCGAGGGATCGGCCCCGAGACGCACGAGAGCCGCGGCGTGACCGCGGCTAGGTCCCGTGCCGGACGAGGGGTTAGGCCCGCGGCGGAGACGGCGGGCGCGATGGCTGTAAGCTCGCGAACGACGACGACGGCCCCAGTGGCCAAGCGGATTCGCGCGACAATGGGCGACGAGGACGACCTGTTCCACCAGTTCGGCGGGGGCGAGAGCCCGCTGAAAACAGACGGCTGGGCCGCTCCCTTGCGCGGCGAGGGGGGGGGGGGCGCTGGAGGGGCAATGTCGAGCAGCGCGGCGAATTCGACAACTCATGGAGCTGCATGGCGTTATCGGCTCCGAGCGCCACCTGGTTGTGGAGCCCGACATCGCCCCGCTGAGGGGGGCGCCGCGTTCGTGGGCGCGTCGGTGCGCGGCCGCCGGCGGCTGCCCTCGCCCGAGGCAAGGCCCGCGGTCTTGCGTGGCTCATTCTTCTTCTTCTTTTTCTTCTTCCTCCTCCTCGTCGTTCAATTTTCCAGGTCGAAGAAGTTCGCGCCTCGGCGAGCGTGCTGGCTCGCTGCGTCCTTTTTTGTGGCGGTGCGGACGGGGGGCAGGTTCGCCTCCGCGGGTGCGTGCGCGACGGTGCGTGTGAGTTGTGGCGAGCCGGATTATTTGTTCCATCGGCAATGGCTTTGTTGTCGCCCTTCCGTGGAAGAGAAGTGCCTGGAACGCGCCAGTCGGGGTCTGGTTGGCATTGCCAGGGCCGCCCCAACGCAGGGGCGTCTTTTCAGATCCCGCCTCGTCCTGCCTCAGACTAGCGATCCCCCTCCCTCGTGGCACCTCGACCCTCCGTATCCGCCGGAAATGTGAAGTGAAGGTCGGGAGATTGAAGCGGGGGTATTTTTGGGGCTCGCCAGAGGTTGTGAGCAAGTGGTCGACGGACCAGCGTTTCAGCAGGTGTTGAAAGAGCTCCGGCGCGTGGCGCATGGGGATGTGCACCTAGCACCTGAACCAGCCTATACGATCAGGGCCCGACTTATGGGAGCGGTCTTGCCCGCGTTGTGTCAGACACCGCAGGCTGCCGATGATTGCGTGCCTACTGTGTGCTGAGCAGCGGGCAGCGCTCGAAACTCACCTCATAGTGACTGCGCTGGCGCGGTGCGCCTCCATAGTGCTTCAGTTGAGTCCCAAGCAGATGTTCGCATGCTTTCGAAGGCTTGCTCATGAACGTGATCCCCAAGGCTTGGTTGGACCCGCGTCTGATGCCCCTGCCCATCGGTCTGAGGAAGTGACCCTGGCCCCACCAATTTTGGAGCGTCGCATTGCCTTTGGAAGTGCTGACGCTGATAGGTTACGCTGACATGCCCTCACTCTGTGCCCTGAGCCCACTTCGGAGGGTCGTGAAACCCTCGATTTATATGCTCCGTGTGTGCCCAATATTGTAGTGATGTTCGGTGAGTTTTTGTTGTTGTTGTTGGTGGTGTGTATTTTCCTTCTCCCCCCCGAAATTATCCTTCCTGCGGGGCCCCGCTCGTGCTGGGGTGCGCCGTCGGATCCTTCGGGCCCTGGAGTGGCACGAGAGGGTACTCCTGGAGTAGGTGTCATAGGTGTTGTGCAACGATGTTTGGCGGTGGCGAGAAGCCGTTGGCGGGGTGACAGGGCTTGTCCACGGCCCTCCGTCGTTGCTTAGGTGCTGAAAGCGAACGAGGTCACCTGGTGTGTAGCATTATCGTTCAGGATGACGCATGCGCTCTCCTGCTGTCTTGTTTTCGTCGTGGGGCCTATGGTGTTTCAAGCTCGGAGGTTTTTTTTTGCGCGGGGCTCATTGGACCGTGCGGGAAAAAAAGGACCCTAAACGACGTCGCCAAGGATTGCAGCACTTCTACAGAAATCGTGTAACGGTCGCTGGTAGTCGTGCTTCGCCAAGTATGTGCTGCTCAATGCGATGCAAGATGGCCCAGCCTCCTCGCAGTCCTCTCGTGCTGGCCTCGTTTCGACACCTGGGATGATGGCCCTTGCCGAGAGGATCCGCCAATGCGAGGCAGCTGCTCGAGCAGCTGGTTCGGCATGACATCGTATTTTTTACGTTCTGCCCTGGGCCCCCTGAGGGATTAGATCCCCCTCCCTTTTGTCCTCCTCCTCCTCTTCCTCCTCCGCCCTCCTTTTCCTCCTTTTTTCCGCAAGTCCTTTCTGTCGCACCTCCAGTCGCGTCCGTCGGGCGGGCCGGGTGTTTCGCATGAGATCTCCTCGCTATGTAGGCTCTTCGGAGTTTGCAAATTGCAAGCGCTTCACGGATGGGGGGCGGTCTCTTTTTCACATGTGCTTCTCGCTCTAGCGCCGCGCACTTTATTCTTCAGCGTTTGCCCGCTTTTCACAGACGGAGGGACGTTCCTCTTCAAAATGCGGAGCTCGCCTTGGCGCCGCGCGCATTCGCTATCACCGTTCGCAGCAATTTCTCAGGATTCGCCGGGTCGACGTCCGAGAAGCGGCATTTTGGTACGATCTAGGACTGTCAGGAAACGACGATCAGGTTGATCCGCGGTGTTGAAGTGCCAGGAATGGCGTTTTGGCATGGTCTTTGATTGTCAGGACGCAACAGTCACGTTGATTCGTTGCGTTGACGTTCGAGGAAAATCTGAACTGTAGAGATTTTCGCAGTGTTGTCTTTCAGTTGGGCAATGTCCCGCAATGGAAACACGTTCTGCCATGGACTTGCGAAACAATGGAGGGAAGGATTACTGCAACACCATTGATGCGTCTTTGGGTTACACTGGTCCTCCTCCCTTCCTCCCCCCTCCTTCGCCCCCAAGTGGCCGTACACCCACCGCCCCCTTTGCGCGCTGTCACGAATATCACGCCTGGGCCCCGCACTGCCTCCTCGAAGACTCAGGGGCCTTGTGGCATGCAGCGGGGCTGCCTCGGTGGAGTCCCCTTGGAAGCCTTCCCCCCCGTCCCTCCCTCCTCCCCCCCGTCTCTCCCTCCTCCCCTTCGGACCTTCCTCCCCCCCGTCCCTCCCTCCTCGAACCCTCCTCCCCCCGTCCCTCCCTCCCCCCCCGTCCCTCCCTCCTCCCTCCTTCGAACCCTCCTCCCCCCCGTCCCTCCCTCCCTCCCCCCTCCCGGCTTCGGCGACTCAGACGCGGAGGCCCGAGGCTGGGCGAGGGAGGAGCGACGTGCCTCAAAGGAGGCCTGCGGCGACCCAGACCTCCGAGCGCAGTCGCCCTCCCCTGCATCTCGAATCGGGTCGAACCCTTCTCGGCCGTCGGCGCCCCCTCCCTTCCTCCCCGCCCTCCCCGAAGCGGCGAGGCACATCAAGGAGGCCGGGGACCCGGGCGTGCCGGGGGAGTGGCGCGAGGACAGGCTCGGGCCGGGCCGCGCGGCAGCGGGGGCCGCCTCCCCTCCGTGGGGAGGGTCGTCGTCGGCGACGTCGGTCGCTTCCTCCTCCTCCGCCTCCTCCTCCTCCTCTCCTCCTCCTCCTCCTCCTCCTCCTCCTCCTCCTCCTCCTCCTCCTCCCCCTCCCCCTCCCCCTCCTCCTTCTCCTCCTCCTCCTCCTCCTCCTCCTCCTCCTCCTCCTCCTCCTCCACCTCCTCGGCCTCCTCCTCCTCTCTAGCCTCTCCTGTCTCCTCCTCCTCCGCCTCCTCCTCCTTTCCCTCCTCTTCCTCTACCCACCTCCTGTCAAGTTCCGGACTTGGGCATGGCATCAGGTGGGTAAGGGATTCGCCCGAAGAGGGAGGCTGTTATTGTGCATCACGTCTGCTGCCCCACTGGCCTGGGCGGCCAGTCTTGTGAGTCGAGTTCTTCTTCCGCGTTGTCCGAGGACAGACCCGCTGCGTCGGCAGACG